CCCAACCCACCCCCTCCTCCTCCTCCTCCTCCTCCTATCTCCTATCTGTGCACGATAATCTTGGTCCACGGGTGCATATTTCAAGATCGGCATGCGTGAACGATTTCATGGCCGTCGGGTTGCCTTGCGGTCGTGTAACTCACGTTTATAACGTTAATACGACGGGCGCGGAGTGCAGGCTATCGTATTTCGCAGCAAACCCATGGTCCACAGATCGACGAGGCATGTTTTAATATGCAAATTAAAATGCAAATATACCGGCGTCCCCTCCACCTCTCTTTCCCTTCCCTTCCCTTCCCTTCCCCCCTCCCCCTTCTCTCTCTCTCTTTCTATTTCTTTTTCTTTTTCTTTATTTCTGTCATCTTTATTCTCTTATTTTATCTAAGTTCTTTGTCATCTTATTTTGCTCTTCATTTATATCTATATCTATATCTATCATATCTCGTTGCGTGATACCTTTTTCTTTTTTTTTTTGAAGATCATATTTATTATCTTATTAATCATCTCGCGACATTTCTATTTGCCCCATTTTCTACTCTCTAATACGATTTAGAATATATCCTATATAAATCCCCCTTCTAATCTTGATTAAATGCCAACACCAACCTATACGTTAGTTTTCTTTTTTTTATATAGAACCTAACCCGATATAATACATGGGGGCATATTCTTAGTAAATCTTCGAATTTATATCCCATTTGTATTTTCTTTTTTACCCTCCCCCTTCCCCTCCCCCCCTCAAAAAAAAAAAATAATGTAAAACCGATTTATTATCGCGACGATTTTAATATATCTAATCTATTTTTATTATTAATTTCATTTTTTTTTTTTTTTTTATAACAGAGATTTACACACCGGTTTATCGAATAGATGATGACTGTGTGTGTGTGTGTGTGTATGTTTCTTTTTTTCTTTTTATGAGACAGATAAATTCTAAACGATTTAAATAATGATTTACGAAAGAGTTTCTAGTACGAAGTTGATACGTTTAACATTGTTATCCATCAAAATATCGTGAATAAAATAGATCATTTATTATTCGCATGTCCATCGTTGGTATATTGCACGTTACATATATGTGTTACTTTCTCTTGTCCCTGTTCGGTCTCCATGTAACTACTCCAAGTAAGTATATCTGGGTTATATTTATCATGCGGATTGCTCACTTACATGCTATAACGATGTTCTATTATATTAGAGAATCAACTTGGTACACTTTCTTTCGTTATATTTTAGAAGAGGACAATGGTAATAGGTAATGAACGTCTGACGTGATTGTAAAAGTAGAACGAATATAATTAAAAATGATACGTATGATCGATCGATTGAAATGTATAACGCGTTACATTTAAAGAACACAAAAATCAAATTTTTACATTACATTAAAAAACGATTTTGAAATACACGATGAACAGATAAATGATAAACAAATATTGACATGCATAAAAATGGACATTACATTATTCTTTATAATAAAAGAATAATTAAATTTTTGTATGAAGAAAAAAGGTTTGATTAAAGTGCAAAAGAATTAATACAAAAAAAGATTGATTCAAGATGATTCGATAAAGATGTCGTCGACTTTCAATAGGAACGATAGATTCTAAAGGGATTATTCTAGTGGAAAAACGATGAAAGAAAATAGGTATTTGCGGTATGAAGAAATAGTTCAAAGGGACTCAATATAGGTACTAGGATATTCTCGTGTATCGAGTACAACAAGGTAACTGAACACCCCCGCATCCTGATGCATTCTTCTATCCTTTTATACGAAACGAGATAGTTGGATCGTCGTTATCCTTTTTATTTTTATTCTTTTTCTTTTTTCTTTTTTTTTTTTTTTTATTCTTTTCTTCCCCTGCAACTCGGATAACATCTTCTTTCCTGACAAGCTAGCTTTTTGTCCTGATCTACGTGATGGTTGTTGACTGGTATGGTACCGGTGATACCGCTGGTAATACCGGAGGTACTCGAGCGTTACACGACAGATGAACGAACGAACGGACGACCGAGTGTCAAGTACACCTTGTCTTTCATTTAGAATCTCTTATTTTTCTTATTTCATTCGAAGTATGTACGAATTAAAGAGGAAAGTTGACAAGTGTAAATCCGGTTAAAAAATACGCGAAGCGAAACTAACGAGTCCTATATTGATGTCATGATATATTATAGTAATTATATTTTATCATTTATCTCAAAAAATGTCATTTTCACAATACGATCTTTTAATTGATCTAATATTTTTTTTTTGTCCATTATATACGAATTCACATTTATTTAACGATTATTTCTTGGAACATACTAAATTCATTTTTATCATATTATAATATATATATATAAAATATAATAATCATCTGAGAAATTTTTTAATTTAATACATAATACTCTATTTATCTATTTATTACATAAGATAAATATTATATATGAAAATCTTAATGACTTCATTTATTTTTTCGCGTCATCCGGTCCCTAATAGAAAACGCTACACGCATTATTACGCATATATAAGTAATTGGACGGGAATGTGTTAACATAGGATATAACGTAAGATACTTAACTTTCACACTCACTCTCTCTCTCTCTCTCTCTCTTTCTTTCTTTCTCGACTAACATTGAATAGAAAAAAAAAGAGACAGAGAGAGAGAGAGAACGAAGTATATAGAAATGCATCCATGTCAGATACACTTTGGTTGCAGCAGAGTTAACGAGTTAACTCTCCGGTTCGTTTGCTTACGCACGAACGGATAAAAACGATAAAGAAAAAAAAAAGAAAAAAAAAAAAGTAAAGGTACACACGGTGTGCCTAGGACAGTTAAGTAAAAGAAATAGAAAAAGTGTTAACCGAATAAAACCGTCGTCGGCTTTTGCTTTAATATAGAAAGACCTTGTTTATTCAAATTACCTGAGACGTACGTTAATCGTCATGCTTCATAAACGACGTGTACGCGATAATAAAAGCAAAATGTGATAAAAAAAAAAAAAGAAGGGTTTCACCCTTTTGCCTTCCCCATCTATCCTTTACCCCACCCCGTTTATCCAGTCGTTGGCTAGTTAGGCCAATA